CCCAAAGACTTCAAATCCTCATCTTCCTTTCCTGCTATTCCCAGAGGTTTCCATTTGCATCAGGAGCAAGGATGGAGAGGCAAAAAACCACTGTGGGGGTCAAGAAGCAACTTGTGTTTTGGGGGCTGGTAACCCAGAACCAACGGGAAGCATCCGAGCGACTTGGAAAAAAACGTTAAGATTTCATAAAAGTCTTTTCAGCAGGGATATAAGGATTTAAAAGCTTTTCAAAATGACCTAGGCATTCCACATATTTTGTCATATGATTATTTTACGTAACTATCCAAAGCCTGAAAATTATCAAGCACAGCAAACTCAAAAACTAGAACACAGTTATCTATGATACCGTGTCAGAATCTACTGATATGACTGCCTTTTTGTAGTTTTATGCTACGTGTTTGGGTTTCCACTGAAGATGATGCTGCAAGGCAGTAATGATAAAAAATGTGCTTATTAACTATTCCTGATATCAGCATTAATGACACGTGGATACTGCTGACAAGAACACCTACCCTAGAATTACTCCAGCCTTACAACACAAGAGTTTCACTGCCTTTGAGGATCTCTGAAATAAAGCTTTGTGGAAAGGAGTCTACCGAAAAACTTTCCTTTACCATTCCATTTTCTTTACTTTTATACTGACTGCTACAGATCAGAACAAATATTTGCAGGAACGAAAATAATGAAAGAAAAAAGAAGTGTGGGGCACGATTAAAGATATGAAGTGGATGGGCACATCTACGCGTGCAATTCATGCTATTTGGCTCTACTGCTGCATATGCAGGTGGTAAATTTACACCGCAGTAAGTGCCTGCACGTGTAGACAGTGACACTTTACTGCGCAGTACATTAGTCTACGGAGCAGTAAAGTGTCTCATGTAGACACAGCCGCCGTCTGCAAATAGCAGGTGAATGGACTTGATCTAGGAGGTCATTTCCACTTCATTCCTATTCTGGAGGTGCAGGGCTTACATGCACTAGGGATTTTTGTACTGCTTCAGCAAACCGTTTGGTAGATGCAAATGTATAAAAAGTGACCTGCATCAGCACCCAATGGCCGGGAAGACTCCTCTCAGTCCTCTGTTCTCAAAGTGCTTATCATTGTGATAAAGTTTCTAACCCCAAAAACACAACGCAACTCGTCTTGGGTAGAGACACAAGTGACGGCAAAGATGGCATCACAAAACGTTAAACTTCCTCAAAGGAGGGGAAACTGCCTATAGGCAGAAATGACTGGATTCAGAGACTATTAACGCAGCATTAAAAATATGCTCCAGCACATCTCAAGTTGAGAAGGGAGATTGAGAATGTTGCTGTGAAGTAAAACTGTTTCAATGACAGCATCTCTACCGCGGCTAGGAATTCATGCTCAAGTCTGGATGTGAGCTACAAGTTGAAAACAGTTGTCAGCCAGTTTGTAAGAAATGGAAATGTTCCACAGAAAAAAAGAAGTGAAGCAATAAGAGCAACTATGCAATATAAAACTATTTATAGGAACAATTTTGGTTGAAAACAATAAACCTCCAATTATAAGCTTTTCCTTTTACCAGTCATTTAACTCTCCTCTTCTTTCCCGCTACATTGGACTATCATGATAACTTGTGACAGAACAACGCCAGCTGCTGTTCTCGTTTGGCCTTATCCCTCATGTTGCTGATATTGCTACTCCACCTCCTTTCTGTAACTTAGTCTTCTGTCAATTAAATAATTGAGCTTTACAGCAAACAGTGCATATCATAATATTAAGTGCATATTGTTTATAACCACAGACCAAATGCTTTCCATATGCAGCTATGCATCATTATTCCAGTTTTACACGAAAAAAATTGAGGATAGGAAGTTCTCTCTCTTACCCAATATTGATAAAGTCAATGGCTGAACTGACCAGGACACCAGTCAGATGTAGTAGCTGTTAGACCATATGGTCTCTATTGCTATGATTTGTCCCACACAAAACTATGATTTTTTTTTAATGACACTCAGATCCTATTTTTATGATCAAGAGGCAAGTGCAGAAGGCACGCATAAAGAACTTCATGCCAGATAATGGGAAGGAAAACAGAATGTATTTAAGTATGAATTAATTAAAAGGTATTTTCCAGAATTCCTACACATTCTGCCGAGCAAGAGAGAAGCAAATGAGGTCACCTAAAATTATGCACGCCCTAGCAGATGAAACTCGAATTTGTGTTTAGGCAAAAGATACATCCAAAGTTCAATTTATTAAAACGAGTTAATGAATATTCAAATCACTGTGCGAATGAACTGTAAGTGGCCTGTATTTTTCTAGAGGCAAGACTCAAATGCTATGGGTTGAGAAAATGTCTCCCAATTAAAACGGGAAACCTGTGTGCTCGTAAGCAGCAGAGAGCAAGGCGCAAGAAAGATTACTTCCTATCGGAATAGACAGTTCACTGCTTACAAAGAAGATATTTTCCCAAGGGTTTGCAAAACAAAACTTTCATTCCTTGTATGCAGGTTTTTAAAGCTGTAAGTTCAGACTGCATGAGAAGAAGGGATAAACTGATAGGAGTACTCTTCTAGATGGTGGCAATCAGATTTTTTACTGCATTGTTAGGCATAGATCAATGCAACACTAATAGTGAAGGCTTTACATTTCTGGGTTTCTGGTATGCACGGGGATTTCCCCCTTCAGCAGTCAACTCAATGACCCACCAGACAGCTTCACATACGCTAGACAACCCCTGCCTGAAGCCTGACCATACCTATGCAAGCCATCCTATACAGTCCATCATCGAAACTCTACATAAGACTACCATCAACACTGACACAACACAAGGCCTAACACCCGAACCTGCCACAGGTAAAGCCGGGGAACCACGGCAGCCAACTTCTAGAAAACCTTGTAGGTCATGGACAGAGGGCCACGCCGTCCGCTACAGAAGAGGACAAAACCCCGCAGTCCCTACCAACCTGACCATGGGGTAAAATTCCTTCCCGACTCCAAGTGTGGCGTCGGTCTGTCCCTGAGCAGCAGGGCAAGACGGTTTAGCCAGACAGCTCCGGCTTTGCTCCTAGGAGGGCACTGCCGAGTGGAAGTCGGCAGCCTCCAGTACCCAATACCCTTTTGAAATAGGTTCTGCTTTTCCTGTGTTTCTATTGCCTAGCTCCACCAAGTTAAAAAATATACTGATTTGTGGTCTGTATGGTTCGACCTGTACTTAACTCATTAGAAATGAAACGTTGGAGACTTCACAGCCCAGGAAGCAAAGACCATAAGAAACAGCAGGAGCTTGCCACTTTTCCTTACTTGTGGATGTCTGAGAAGGAACACAAAAAAACCTTGCCCCTCCTACAGCAGTTCTTCAAATAGAGAATATATTCATTTGATGTATTGACTGAAGTAACACTTTGTACTGCAAGAATGATCTGAAGTTGATGCTCATCATGTTGCACACCATAGGACTTCCTAAAACTTAAAATGAATAATAATGATTCAGCAGCATACCCTTCTGCTGCACCAAAAACACAGCCCAGAAAAATTTTGAACCCTCTGGTATCTCACTGAATATGAGAAATAAAAAAAAGATACAACTGGCACAGCTATATCATTTGTTGAAGAAATAACTTTGCAGAACAGAGCCAAGGCATTGTTAGCGTGACTTGGTAAGCATTACTCTAATAAGAGAGCAAAAGTTGAGAACAAAGATGCTGCCGCCTGATCTTCCAGCTAAGCCTATTCCGGTTAAATCAGTATTTTGAACAGAGAAAAACCAATACCCTCACAACGCAGTGAGGAGCCTGTAGTGAATCAATACTGCACAAGGATAATCAAGTACTTAGACGTTGGAAATTCCATGTTTTCTGGTAAGACAGAAGTTCTTAATATCTGAGATTATTTAAGGTCCCACCGTTCTTTTCATGATATGAGTTTTAGCCTAAGGGGGAAAAAAGAGCAGCTTAGGTAGCGATACTTTCCCTGCTTCTCTTTGTAATTCTGAACGGATAAGCCATTTTTTCTACTGCCTGCCCTAAACTCATAGAATATTCCTATGTGCTTCTAAATGGCTGAAACCCTCCACACAAAAGGTGGGCATGTGTCAATGGTGCTTGAAGCGATCCCCGTATTTATAATTTGAGAAGTGCTTCAGGATGAAGGGCGTGACAAATGTAAGATTATAATAACTGATGTTCGATCGAGTCACCACGTCGGCTCTTTCACAGGCACTCATAAGTGCTCACTTAAAGATTTTCCTTTAAAATTATACTGCAAACATTGACATTTCCTCCAAAGCAGCTTTCAGCAGAACATTATTTATATTAAGCAGCGTTCGGTGCCAAACCAGGCTGCCTTGTAACATGACAGGAAGCCCCCCAAAACAGTTGCACAAAGAAGCTATTCCTCCTACATCATCGTATTTTCATTTATTTTGAGAATGAAGCATAGTTCAGTATTGATATTTGGACACAAAACCCTGATGTTATAAATGGGCATTGTGCAGAATCGAGCATGCCAAGTACTGAACTGTTACAACTACACTTGTTGAGCAGTCAGGAAAAAGAAAATGAAATGCCTTGCTCATAATAAAAAAAAAAAAAAAAAAAAAATGCAACAGCATCAATAGAAAAGGAAACCTGGTCAGACAGCTGGGTGCAGGGGAATTCCCCGTGCTGATATTTTTAAAGCAGGATTTCAGAAAAATCAAAAATGGTGACGTGATAAAGACGACAAACCTCTGCTGGCACTTCTGACTACTGGAAATGCACACAGATTATTAGCAGACACCTCTGTGCCCCGAACAGGTTGTGTTACCCACTGGAACCTCCCAAACGTGCATTTAAGTCTAGTCCTGGGTAAAGGTATTAGGGCTTCCCAGTAAAACTACAGCGTTTTAGGCACCGCACCAACTCTTAGTGATCTGTTTATTACGTCAGAAGGATCCATTGATCCTGCAAGTCGGAATCTAAATGCTCCGGAAGAGGTGCAGACGTACAGGACAAAAACCCCATCTTTCTACACGCCCGCGGTTGGTACTTACAGCCATGGTAAGATGCGGGCGAGCCGCCAGATTTGCCGTACTCTTGCTCCGAGTAGCTAGTAGATAGGTTAGGCTGACTAGACCCTCGGCCAAATGTGATCTGGTTGCTACCAACGCCAGTGGCCACCTGAGCCATACGCTCTTTGGTCTTCAGGGCTTGGGCCCTCTCTGTCTTGAGGCGCTCATCATCCTTCAGAAGAGACACCAGCTGCTTGGACTTCTCCCTTACATTGATGCCCTGGTCCTTGCCGTCTCGGTCAATATACTGAAAGTCTTTCAGGGTCTGAATAGCAAAAATGTTCTCTTTACATTGCTGCGCCACCCTCTCAGAGCCCGTTTTAATCAGGTAATCTAACAGAGTGAGGGCCTTGTACACGTGCCGCCAGTTTTTGCCGTGGTCATTCAGCCGTTTCCAGATCATGCTCATAATTTCAGAAAAGGCCACGACATTGTAAGTCAGATCTGCTATCTCAGTCATTAAGGAACTGGAGGGACCCCAGGGGTCATTGGAGGTTGCTTCCCGAACTTTTATTTCTGCCTCTGAATAATTGTTCACAATGTTTTTCATTTGCCGCCGAATAGACGAAGTCGTCATTTTTATTTTCCTTGTAACACGACAGACCCCCCCCAAAAACCCTCAGAAAATGGTTAAATCTGTTTTACTGTACAAGCATCTGAACTATGAAGACTCTGTGTCAGTGACTGATGTGACCCTTGTTCCACAAAAATCATTTCCTCCCTTCGAGAAAAAGGTCCAAGAAACAGTGAACCATGACCTGTAAAGAAAGAAAACAGAAAATGTATTAGCCATGACTTTAATTCCTCTTTTATCAATAAAATCTCCAAAGTTTTGAACAAATGACATGGAAATCAACTGAAGCAACTTTCAAAATCAGGCCCCTCACACATTTTACATGGAGAAAACCTAGCCTGACTCCTCAACTTCAAACAAAGGCTGGGTTACCTGCTGAAAGCAAACATCTGAATAAATTAAACCAAGGCGTTAGAACTGCAAGGTAGATCACGATCTTTACTGTATTCCGATTAATTAAAAACATTTTTGCACGATGAAGGAAAGCTAAATCAAAGAACCCACTTGAGCCAGTGAAAGGGGTGAGGTCTCTAATTACCTTTCATAAAATTAAGTACCAAAGTTTAGATCCAACTGGCTTGTAAGTTGTATCTCACTTGTAAGCCTCCCTCTGTTGGTTAACGTTCGTTGTTCAAGTAATATAGGTTGTAGCCGTGTTGGTCTAAGGATATAGGTAGGCGAGGTTCTTTGGGTAAGTCTGATATCTTTTATTAGATCAACTCAAATAGCTGGAAAAAGTTTTTGCACGCTTTCAGGTACAAAAACCCTTTGTCAGGCTGAGGAAACTACCCCAGATGCTTCCTCAGCCTGATGAAGAGTGTTTGTACCTGAAAGCTTGCAAAGAAGAATTGCTCCAACTATCTGAGTTGGTCTAATAAATGATATCAGACTTACCCAAAGAACTTCGCCTGCCGTGTTGAAGTAAAACAGTTGCCTGACAACTCTCATAGGATCACAGAATCGAAGGACCGGAAAGGACCTGCAAGATCATCAAATCCAGTCTTCTGCCATGGGCAGGAGGTTATGATGAATGGAAAAGGCCAGAAAATTTCCTATAAACTAACCAGTTCATTCCTGCGGTGCCCAGGGACAAACCTAAAGCCAGTTTTGAATATCAGGACAGAGATCCTGAGCTCTTCAATGGGGAGCCCAAGAAGGAGAAGCACTAAAACAATAGTCAAGGTGACCCTGATAATGCTCATCAAATTAGATGAGAAATGCTTTTGCAGCTCCTTTACGTGGTGCATTTGACAGCACTAGTCAAACTCTCCGTTTCAGTTGCTTACCCGTGTCTTTCACACAGCACGGAAGATTTTTTTTTTCCATTATATGAAAAAAAAAACTATTTTTTTTTCATTACATGAACAGTAAAAACAAAACTACTTGCAAGGAAAGCCGAGGGCAGGCTGTAGAACTGGAAAGCATTTTTCTTTTTTTTTTTTTTTTTTTTTTTTGAAGACTACTAAATTTCAAACAGACAAAGCCCCTTTACTCAAGTGAACTTCACTCCAAACCTTAAACTGCCTCTAATTCTGATGCTACGTAAAAATATTTTGCTGCTCGTCAAAACAATACTTTACAAATTAAAGGCAATTTAAAAAAAATACTTAATAGTGATGCCATAATGCAGCTGACCACCTTAGCAGCACAAGGATAGTATTTTTAAGTTCTCCAAGACCACTTCTTCTGCAACGAAGCAGCAAGCTCACTGTGAAAGGAGTGGGTGAGAACAAAAGCACCGATTGAAAGCCCAACATTATCGTCATTCTTCAGATTACTATCGTGCCATTTCAAATGAAGGGAGAATTAAATTTCAGTTTAGACCGCTGGATTATTTATCATGATTTGCAAAAGGCTCCTAAGGGTGAACAGCAGCACAGAGGAATACAGCTCTCAGCAAATAAAATCCCTCTGTGACAAGAAGACCAATGAACGGGTCCTCTCTCGCTCAAAACATTCATCTTTGGCCGTAAGATTTAAAATCAGACTCCAGGGAAATTGCGTCATCACTGCATTTTCCTTCACACTCCTTTAAATTCAAGTCACAGGAAAATCATTTGAAACTATTATCGAACTGAGTGATACTCTGAGCTGTGAAGCACCCTCTGAATAGGAAAGAGACTACACACTGCTCCTGGAGAGAGTCCTGCACGCTGCAAATCCAGAGCCTGAAGTGAAAACCCCATCTAAACAGTCATTTTGCTCTCCAGCATATCAAGTAGGAAATGTTGCAAAGATTTGAGGGTAAGGTATTAGGACACTTAAGGGCGCGTCCACATGAGCCCGACCGTATGGTATGTGGCACCGCAAACTTGTCTGCAGCACCGCATACTGTACAGTCAGGCGCCCTCCGCGCTGCAAGGGTGTGCTGTCCATGCATACGCTGCTCTGGGGGGGGGGTTTCCCCCCCATGGGTTTTTTTTGACTCCTGGATATCCCTGGGGGGAAAAACGGGGCAGTGCATGCATGGGCAGCACGTGCTGCTGAACAGCAGGGCCGGGCCACCTGGAACTGCGCTGCAGCTGCAGCCCCGAGAGGCCCCCAGGACCCCAGATAAGGCTGCTGGGGCCAGCACAGTGCCTCCGCTACTGCCCCCGGGGTAGGTAATATGCTGCACGCCAAAGCATGCATGGCATGGGCGTTCCCTGGGGACAAGTAGCTGTGGCGCAAGGTGGGCCGCTGTGTCCCCAGGAAACCAAACATCTATGCTCATCTGGACGCGTGCGAAGAGCTTAGCAGGATTCAGACGCTGGCCGGGGTCTTTATCGGGGTGACGAGCATTCTGAATTATAATAAAGGTATTATCATGAGTTTGGGAAGAAATCTAGACCCGCTTGCTAGCCACCTTCAAATGGATACAGCTTGGGAACTAGCTTTTCTTGTTGTATCCCATAACTGACCTTTGCAGGGTTTCTTGCCCCTTCCTCTGAAGCAGCTGGTCAAAGAGCGGATACCAAACTACACTCAGCTGGGGACTGATCCACCATGCCAGTTCCTATGTTTCGGAGTCTGCACTCCAAAAACAAAAAAAAAAAATCCCAAAATTAACAGCACACCTTCAAGCATTTATTTGAAACCAGCACAAGCATGCAAATCTGCAGTATGCGCATGAGATTAGACTGAAACAGTGTGTTAAATAATGCTGTTTTTTCCCCCCACCAGTGTAGCTACCCAATGGCACTGCTCTGAGTATCATGACGGAGGATGTTCACACCAACACTTAGGTAGCAGCAGGGAAATCAAGAACCAAATGTCTTGTAACCATAAGATTAAAAGAAAAATTATAATTACATTTAAGCTATAATTAACTCTTCCTATATGCATGGCTAACAACATTTCTCAGTCACAATAACCATATCACATCCACATCATTTTATACCTTCCTAAACCATGTTCTACAATCAGCTAGATGGTGTTTCCCATCAATGTTTCCCTTGGAGGAAGAAAGAAGAAAAAAAAAAAAAAAAGCTTCAAGAGACTTGCAACTGGTTGTAATTTATTTCCAAAAGAGCTGCTATCTTTGATCTGATAGACACAATGGAATTGCAGGGGGAAAGTCAATGAGATATTGCAAAACATCTGGATCAACTACAGAAAATGAGGAGGTCACAGAGTGGACACTAGGCACTATATTTAAAAATACACCCCAAAAGTGAGACAGTAATTCTGAATGGAAAAAAACCACAGTGAGCAGCAGTCCAAGTATATGAAAATCCCAAGACAGAATAAAAAGTATAATAGGAAGAGTATGAAACCACATCAGAAAGAAGCTACTGGGCAAGCAATATTGCCAGGATATCAAAGAACAACTGTGACACAAAACATGAATCAATGACTTTGGTGACTGATGTATAAACTCTTAGGCCAGGTACAGACATTGCACTTTTACTGGTATAAGTGATCAGACACTGGTCTATACCTATAACAGAAAAGAAGTTCGGCACAAAAAAAACAGTCTGTACCCATAAGAGTATGGAAGTTTGGCGCACAGACTGGTTTCAAAATGGCACAACCCGGTCTAAGATTTGCCCCCCACCCACCAAACAGCGAACACATCTTCTGTTCGCTACAAATCTACACTACACCGCTTAGAGAAAACAGCATAACTTAGATCGATTCCACCTAGGGCTTTTTGAATATCTGCACCTTGTCAAAGTGTTACAACCAGATGTAGTTTGGAGGGGGAAAAAACCCCACCTTAAATTATTTCTTGAATCTCTCTAAAAGAAATAATTTAGCACGCATGGGAAATGGTGTATTTTCACTTAGCCCCAAGAAACATAGGAAGGTTGGTTCAAGAAATAACTATAGTTGAACTAAGCAATAGCAACCACAATATAGTGAAGTCCAATACCCTTGCAGGACCGTTCACCTAAAAAAAAAATTAGCACTGCTGCACTAGACTGCAGAAAGAAATATATCAAAGTGATGTAGGAAGAGAAATACACCCTTAATTATTGCTTGACTTTAACCATGTGCATTAGTAAGAAACTGTTTCTGGTTTTTAATGATATTCCCTTTATTGAGGCACCTGTTTTAAACGAAAAACGAAACAGGGGCTGGAGTCATTTTCAGGCCAGAAATGGCCTGCATAGAAATTCCAAACTTGAAGAGAAGCGTAGTTGATGCTTATATTTTATTATTGGTAACACATACCAAAAGTGCCAGATCCTGGAAGTGGGAAAGTGTGGATTATGTGCGTACAGGCTCTGGAACAGGATGGGATGCCCACGTGATTACCTCCTCGCTCTCACAGTTTGAAGCTTTCCTGCAAGGCTGTGTCAGCTGCTCTGCAGCACTAACAGAAGGAGACAGAGATGCTACAGGCACAAGTGACAAACCTAGCCGAGAGAACAGGCTACGGGGATCGGGAAAAGGCATGAACGCTTGGAGGGAATATTAAGCATAGCCAGCAAACATTTTAAACAAAGCGAGTGTGCCAAATTCTGTGCAACAGGCACGAAGGTACCCCTAACTTTCCCAAAGAATTCAAGATTTCATTTGATGTTGTATAGTTCAACAGCAAGGATAAGATTGCT